CTATGGTAGCAACTTCCGCCGCTCGTCACACCTCGCGAGACTCCGGCGGCTCAGCAATGGCGAGACCGTGAGTTCCGCTGACGGGAGTCAGGAGTAGGGGCTGGGAAGGGGCTCGGGCGAAATCGGGCAGTGGGAGATTCAGCAGGACAGGGCCGCCTGAACGGGAGCGGCGGCTGGGGGCTTGCGGCCCCTACAGTCCGAACACCCGCCCGCGACCAAGTTCCCGCCTCTTCCCCAGATGCCGCGTCACTGCTCCGCCGCCGGCTGCTGCACACGGGATACGCGCGAGACGCGCAATCGCGGCATCTCCTTCCACAGGTCAGCGCGCTTGCGTGCTGGCTACCAAGGTTGACTTGCGCATGTGCCCGTTTTGCTGGCGCGAAGCCCCGATTGCACATGCGCGTTCTCTGGTTGGGGCGAGGTTTGAACTTGTGGGTGGGAGAGGGTGAAGCGGGCGGTGCAGGTGGGACTGAGTCTGGACGGGAAAGGAAGGATGCACCAAACACCACCGTTGGATTCTCTGCTCTGCGCCTCTTATCTGCTAGATGACGCTGAGCAAGTTGCGCCTCTTTGAGGCCTCAGTTTCCTCGTCTGTGTGCTTCTCTGGTAGGATTGAAGGGAGGTCTCCTGGCTGCATGTGCAGGGCCAGCTCTTCCCATCTTGGGAGCATAGGCAGCATAGCCCCAGGGCTTCATGAAGCCTGGGGCTCACCGATTTGTGGCTCCACAGACTTCCCAAAAAGGACAACCCAAGGCGAGGCTTGTGGCTGGCCAACTGCCAGAGGCTGGACCCCAGCGGCCAGGGCCTATGGGACCCAGCATCCGAGTACATCTACTTCTGCTCCAAACACTTCGAGGAGAACTGCTTTGAGCTGGTGGGAATCAGGTGAGGCTCCTTGCCAGCCAGCACTGGGGCATCTGTAGGGCCTGCTGAGGAGATCCTGAAGCACCTGGCACGAGGATAGGCAGACTTGGTGGTTTGGCTGCCTCTTCCCAGCTCTGTACCTCAGTTTCCTCTTCTGACAGATGAGGACAGTAAGACCCATCCCCTCAGGATGTCTTGTGCCAGTGACACAAGAGAAAAACATTACCTTCTCCTGTAGGTGTTCCTTAGAACCCGTCTTCCCACCAAATTCACAAATGAAATAATTATTTTGGCTGATCAACCCAGTTCTGGTGGAGCCCTTCCATGCACCTTAACTTGAGGAGTCCTACAGGGAAGAGACTGGTGTAACTCTGCCTAACTTGGCACCCCCCAAACATTGTTTGCTAATACTGGGGAGCCTGCCCGGGGTGCTGGAGGGCATGCCGACTCAGCCCTGCAGGTCATCTGGGGGTGGCAGTGCTTGTTCGCCATCTCATTCAGGCTGCTTTTCCCCACAGTGGGTATCACAGGCTGAAGGAGGGGGCAGTTCCCACGATATTTGAGTCTTTTTCCAAGTTGCGCCGGACAACCAAGACCAAGGGGCACAGTTACCCACCTGGTCCCCCTGATGTCAGCCGGCTCCGGCGATGCAGGAAGCGGTATGTGCTATGGGT